GCCTTAAATATTTCAATCACTGCTTGATTGGGCATAAAAATCATTACATCATGCTTTATTTCCTTGAAGATTTTTAAAGAGTAGCTCCACAGTCTTCAGGAGTTAAGGCTGACCATGGAGAGAGCTGAGGATAACATCATTTTTTTAATGACTTGATCTGGAAAAGAATATGTTTTCCAGTTGTTGAGTACTGGGTTCTCTGTGTGTTTATCAGATCAAGGTTCTTGAATGTGCTGTTCAAAAATTCCTGGTGAATGGGGACTTTTGGTGTAATGGGTGTAGAGGTTAAGTTTTACAAGATAAAAAGAGTTGAGATTGGTTGTACAATAATGTGAATGTTTTAATACTTCTGAACTGCAGCCTTAAAAATAGTTTTAGATTATGTGTATTTTACCACAATTTAGAAAAAGATTTCTGGTTTAAAAAAACAGAACACTTCTTGGTAAATTATTCATTTTATCATTATTTTATGACTCTTTATTCCTTGCAGTGCTTTTTTGTCTAAGGGTCTTATTTTGTTTGCTATTAATATAAGTGTGCCAGCTTTCTTATGTTTAGTATTGCTTGGTATGTCTTTCTTTACTTTCAGCTGTCTGCATCCTTATTTTTGTCCTATATAAGTCTCTTAAATATCATATAGTTGGATTTTGTGTAGATATATTTTCTTATATCCAGTTTGAGAACTTGTCTTTTAATTAGTGAGTTTAGTCCCATTTATATTTTCTCTTATTATTGATACATTGGAATTTATTTCTGTTTTGCACATCCTATTGACTGCGCTTTTCCTACATTTCTTTTTCTTTTTCTACTTTCCATTGTACCAATCCTGTTTTCTTTATCTTCTTTTTTCCCTTTATTTCCTTTTCTACTCCTGTTCTGATATTGTTTACTCTTATACTTTTAGCACATTTTTCTTGCCTAAAGTTAATCAGGTGAACAATTGTTAATCTCCTGAACAATACAAGGGCCTCAGAATGATTTCATACCCTCTCTTGCCTTACACATGTGTTCTTATCCTCTGGTATTTAATTTCCACTTTATTTCTTCAACTCTAAAAGTGGTTGTCATGGTGGTCATTACTGTTATAATAATTACTACTTCATACAGTCATTTCCTATTTAGATTTACCCATATATTTAGCAGTTCTTACCATTGCCTCATGTACTTTATTCCTTACTTCTGATTCAGTTTCCTTCTTCCTGAAATGAAATTTCCTTGTTTTGTTTTCTTTTAGTAGTTCTCTCAGTAAAGAATCATTGCCAAAAGTAAACCATCTTTGTTTTTCCTCTTCAATAGTCACTTGGTCAGAAAAAAACTATTTTCATTGCTTTCTCTTTTCTCTTGTCGTGTTAAAGGATATGCTATTGATTTAATTCTCATTTCTTTTTAGATAATGTCTTCCCTATAATTGGTTTTAATTTTTGTTGTTATATTCATTAGTTTGTTTTAGACTCCACATATAAGTAGTATCATATAGTGTTTGTCTTTCTCTTTTTTACTTATTTCACTAAGCATAATACCTTCCAGGTTCATCCATGTTGTAAATGGCAAAATTCCTTTCTTTTTAATGACTGAGTAGCATTCCATAGTGTGTGTGTGTATCTCACATCTTCTTTTTCCATTCATCTCTTGATGGACTTTTTGGTTGCTTGCATATCTTGGCTATTGTAAATAATACCACTGTGAACATTGGCGTGCATATATCTTTTCAAATTAATGTTTTTGTTTTCTTTGGATAAATACTCAGAAATGGAGTTGCTGGATCATATGGTGGTTCTGTTTTTAGGTTTTTGAGGAACCTCCACACTGTTTTCCATGGTAGCTGCATCAATTTACATTCTCACCAAATCTGTACAAGGGTTCCCTTTTCTCTACATTCTCATGAATAACAAATTGTTTGCGGTCTCTTTTGGTGATAGTCATTCTGACAGGTGTAAGGTGATACCTCATTGTGGTTTTGATTTGTATTTCTCTGATGGTTAATGATGATGAGCATCTTTTCATGTGCCTGTTGACCATCTGTATGTCTTTGGAAAAAACCTGACTCTTCAGGTCTTCTATTTTTTAACTGTTTTAGGAGACAGATCCAAAAAATATTGCTATGATTTATTCATGTCAGAAACTGTTCTACCTATGTTCTCTAAGTTTTGTGATTTCTTACATTTAGGTCTTTAATCCATTTTGAGTTTATTTTTGTACATGGTGTGAGAAAATGTTCTAATTTCATTCTTTTACATGTAGTTGTCCAGTTTTCCCAGCACCGTTTATTGAAGAGACTGTCTTTTTCTCAATTGTATATTCTTGTTTCCTTTGTCATAGATTAGTTGACCATAAGTGTGTGGGTTTATTTCTGGGTTTTTTTTCCTGTTCCATTGATCTGTGTGTCTCTTCTTGTTGCCGACATCACACTTGTTTTGATTACTGTAGTTTTGTAGTATAGTCTGAGGTCAGGGCATGTTGTACCTCCAGCTCTCTTCTACTTTCTGAAGATTGCTTTGGCTACTCAGGGTCTTTTGTGTTTCCATACAAGTTTTATAATTATTTGTTCTAGTTCTGTGAAAAGTACCATTGGTATTTTGATAGGGATTCCCTGGAATCTATAGATAGTTTTAGTATTTTTATCTTTGTCTTTGGTGTTGTCCCATTTCACTGACATGATCTAAGTTTAGATTTAGTGTTATTTGCTCAGCTAGAATTCATGCTTTTTGTCTCTCATTAATTCTGGACATATTCTACGTGTCTTCAAATATTCTCTCCCCTGGTCTTTCTAGTCTGTTCTTCAGCCATTCTGTTAGATATATGTTAGTTGTATTTATTCTGTTCTCTGTTGTTTAACCTCATTTTCATATTTTCATCTCTTCATCTCTTTGTGATGAATTTTTGATAATTTCTTCAGCTCTGTTTTCTAATTCATTCTTTTATCTCCTGAACTGATCTTATATTTGTGTCACCTACTTAGTTTTTAATTTCAGTGACTTCTTTTTCATTTTTGTCTGTTTTTTTACTCACTGTACCTTTTTCAGTCTTTTGTTTTCAGTTCCTCCTTTAGTAAAGTATTGAGTATACTTATTTAATAGATTTATTTCTAGTATTTCCTGCTGCTGCTGCTACTGCTAAGTCGCTTCAGTCGTGTCCAACTCTGTGCAACCCCGTAGACGGCAGCCCACCAGGCTCCCCCATCCCTGGGATTCTCCAGGCAAGAACACTGGAGTGGGTTGCCATTTCCTTCTCCAGTGTATGAAAGTGAAAAGTGAAAGTGAAGTCGCTCAGTCCTGTCCGAGTCTTAGCGACCCCATGGACTGCAGCCTACTAGGCTCCTCCGTCCATGGATTTTCCAGGCAAGAGTACTGGAGTAGGGTGCCATTGCCTTCTCCAATTCTTCTGCTAGAGGAGGTATACTCCTGCTGTTTTATATCTTCTAATTCTCACTCATAATGGAGTGATTATTCCCTGCATATTTATAGTTTTGGATTGTGAGCTTATCTTTAGTAGGGTTTTATCTCTTGAATCCTGGCAGCTAGGATGGAGCAACATAGCTGCATTTACTGATTGGTTTGTCCATCAGACTCACAGACAAAAAAAGTCCTTCGTCTACTATAGTATCTCCATCTCATTTACAGGCCCAGCGGCTACCCAAGTACATAGCCTCTATTGCCCCTTCTCCTATTTGGGGTGTATATGACTGTCAACCACAAGCGCCTCAGATGTCTGTAGGTCACTTTGATACATAAAAGCCATGGCATCTTTTTCCCACCAATCTTTTATACTTTGCTGGTCACCCCAACCCAGATACAGTCCCATCCAGCAATGGAAGCACCACACAACATTACCCAGTTATGTTAACTCTCTTGTTCCCAAGGAAACTGTGCTATGTAAAACCAAGGTCATTCCCAGGCTGGCCTGGTGTTAACCCTTTACTCACAGATTTCAAGGTCTTTTGCCCTGCCTAGCCATTCTAATCATTCTGTTATCAAGATTGACTCCCAACTCCCTCCACCAGGGGTATCCACAGTCTGTTATCCTTTGTTTCTAACTCTGCTAATTTGTTTTACTTCTTTGAGAGTTCAGTTAGCTCTCAATTTGAAAGGGTGCTTACCCTACCTTATCAAGCATTTGTTGATCCTTTTAGCGTTTCTAGGTGTTGGTAGCAAATTTTCAGATTATCTGCTTCAAAATATTACATTAGAAAAAAGTGTGAAACTACTCAGCCTGAGTTCAAATTCTAACTCCTCTTTCCAGCCATATAATCTTTTGCAAGATACTTGTCCTCTGTGAACTTTCTCTAAGCACAATGTGAGGACATTAGTATACACCTTAAGGTGTGGTTGTGAGATTTAGTTATTGTCAAGGGTAAAGCTCAGCACCCTTAACGTGGTTTACAGAGTTCTGATCAGGCCTCTGCCAGTCTTCAGCCCCTTCTTGTCACACTTCCCAGACGTGCTCCAGTATAATAAATTGCTTACACATCCTAAATTGTCCTTCTCTCTAATCTTCCAAGACTTCATACATAGTGTTCCTTTTTTCTGAACATTCTCCTCCTTGTCTGTCCCTTCTGACTATTCTTACTAATCCTTTGTACCTCAGCTAAGATATCAGTTTCTCCAGGAAGTTGTCCCTACTGATCCCCAAGCCTGGGTTAAGTCCAGTGAGAGTCGCATGTGCTCCTGTAACACCTTGCATTTGTCTCTCGTAGCACTCAGCCTGTTTACTTGTCTGAGCATTACTTGAGAGGAAGGATTTTTGACTCTTTTGTTCACTCTTGTATCCCCAGCTTCTAACAGAAAGCCTGGCATACAGCTAAATACTCGGCAGCTATTCTTTTTATCAGCACCTTCATCTGTCATAATGCTCAAATATCTGGTTGTTGTATAAATAACTCGTTAGTATGCCAAGAAGCTTAGAGTTAAGTTACAAGATTGACAAGGGCATGTATTGTTTCAGAGTCACCTTTTAGGCCTTTGTTTTTTTATTTATTCAATCAATCACCCTTTTCATACTAGGAATTAACCCAAGAGTGTGATGAAAAGAAATCCCAGTATGATAGCTGTGCTGCAGGCCTTGAAAGCAATCGGTCCAAATTAGAGCAGGTAAGAAGATAGTTCTTATTTTAACAACCTAGCAGAAACTGACTTTGTATGCATGTTTTCACTACACCAATGTCAAAAGATTCCCAGATCTTTACCCTCATGCCTTGAGTCTGTCTACCAAGCTGCAGAGATTTCTATTTCTATTTTATTTCTATTTTTATTTCTTTCTTGATGTACACACCCTAAATTCTCCATCTGCACCCCTAATGCCAGAGTCAAGGCCCCATCATGTCTTTCCTTGGCTACCACAGTAACCTACAACCTCCTCTCCCCTTCCACACTTGCCTTTCTGAGGCTTATCTCCATAGAGCAGCCAGAGAAACTGGCTTAAACCACCTTCTAACGGCTTCCTGTTGCACTTAAAATCTAACTTCAAAACTTTGGTTTTCAAGACCCTACCTGCTCCATGAACTTCATATCCACATGCTCTCCTCCTCGCCCACAGACCCCAGATATACTAGCTTTCTTCTTGTATTTCAAACAGGCCAAGCTTGTTTTCTCCTCAGGGGCAGGTTTTCATATATTCTTCTCTCTCTGGGATACTCTACTGCCAGCTCTTTGCCTTTCTCTCTCCTTTTCTTTCACCATTTTAGGTCTCAGCCTAAATGTTACTGCCTCCTAGAGGTCTTCTCTAATCACCTGTCTAACTTCACCCACTCAATACCCCTATCACACTGTACTGCAGAATTTTCTTCATAGCACTTACCCCATCTGAAACTGCCTTCATTACACATTTCCTTGTTTATATCTGTCTCCTCTACTTGCATGAGAGCAGGGACCTGTCTTGTTCACTTCTCTGTCCCCAGCACCTAGCACAGAGCTTGGCATACAGTAGTTACTTAATAAATAATTGAACTTATAGGTTGTAGAGTGATATGCATGGTGTCTAGAAAAGATTGCAACCTAGACTGATACAGTAAAGTTTTGGCACAGAAGAGGAGATACTCTGATAGTATTTCTTTTGTTGTACATTTGGTTATCCTTTCTGTATCTAATTATTCTTCCAATAATATTGCGCATTTAAAATTATGTTTTAGGAAGTCAGAGGGCTCCGTGAGGAGTGTCTTCAAGAAGAAAGTAGATACCATTATACAAATTGTATGATTAAGGTAAGACAAAGAAAATTGGATCAGAAACTTTACTGATGTTTTTCTGTATCAAGGACTTAGCCTAAAACACAGTCTTTCCACTTAGAACCTAGAAGTACAACTTCGTCGTGCTACTGATGAAATGAAGGCATATGTCTCCTCTGATCAACAAGAAAAAAGAAAAGCAATTAGGCAAGTAATTTTGTTGTTTTTATATTGAGTTACTTGATGTTTTCATCTATAGAAGATAAGATGGAATTATACAGAGTACCTAAATAAGCAAATAGTAAGATATTATTTAGAATTAAATCTTGTTGAACATCCTCTGGGTACTCCAGCCCTCCTGACTAAGTAAGAATACATATAATTTTTCTTGTTTGCTTGCTTACTTTTTATTGTGGCAAAAGACATATAACATAAAATTTGCCATTTTAACCATTTTTAAGTGTATAATCAGTTGTATTCATTACATTCAAAATATTATGTAACCATCACCACTATATATTACCAAAACATTTTCATCACCTGAAACAGAAACTCTTATAGCCATTAAGCCACTTAATCCCCATTACTCCCTCCTCAGGGATAGATATGGGCTTCCCAGGTGGCGCAGTGGTAAACAATCCGCCTGCTAATGCAGGGGACACAAGAGACTCAGGTTCGATCCCTGGGTTGGGAAGATCCCTTGGAGTAGGAAATGACAACCCACTCCAGTGTTCTTACCTGGAAAATTCCATGGACAGAGGAACCTGGAAGGCTGTAGTCCATGGGGTCACAAAGAGTCAGACACAACTGAGTATGTATGCATGTAGGATTACATATAATTTCATAGTTGCTTTTTTATAAGCACTAAATTTAATCTATTTTTAAAGTCCCACATGGTCTGGACTCTGGTCATTGGTGTGCTCATTGTTGCAGCTCATTGTGAGCTCATTGTGAGCAGCTGCACTTCAGCTAGAAATTCTGTGATTGCAGAGTGCCAGCCTTTGAAACAAAGAATGTATAAATACTACTAGTCCTTATATGGTGATTTTTTTTCTTTTTGTAATCCTAGCATACTATAACATAATAAATGCTGCCTTAAAAATACGTTTATAGTTGAATTGCTAGCTTTGAAAAAAATGCAGTAGTGAACAAGATAAATTTTCTTTGCCCTTTATCACAATTCAAATGTTTTGCTTTTACCATTCAATAAGAACTCAAATGAAGTGTAGAATCCACATTTATTCAAGATTGCAGTTGAGATTTTTAGTAGCTTATACATTGATATTTATGATTCAATAGACATGAGTTTGAGCAAACTCAAGGAGATAGTGAAAGATGGGAAAACCTGGCACTCTGCAATGCATGGGGTCACAAAGAGTCCGACGTGTCTTAGCAACTGAACAACAACAGTTCATTGATATTATAAAGAGGAATCTAAGAAATAGAATGTTTTGCAGAGTCTAAATTTTTTAATATAATGCAAGCCAGGCTGAAAATATTCTGTAAATAGGATTTTATTTGTAATACCCTAGCATATTAAACATACTGAATGTATTTATTCAAATTCTTTTATTGCATGTAAATTTTGCTCATTAAATCTATATAGTTAATACCTAATGTTCACTAATGTAAGAAGTTAATTTTGTTCTTGAAAAATAAAAGTTGTAGAAATTGTTTTTTTTCTTCCAAAGTTATCAATATAATTAGTAAAGAAGGAAGCATTGCTCCTGAGCTATTGGTTTTCTGATCTGTTTTCTAGATAGATATTCCTCTTCATCGTTTTTATTTATTTATTTTTTGGCCATACTGTGCACCACGTGGGATCTTAGTTTCCCAACTAGGGATGGAACCAGTGCCCCCTGCGTTGGGAGTGAGAAGTCTTAACCACTGGACTTCCAAGGAAGTCTCCATTATTTTAAAAATCATTGTAAATCTTTACCATTCCTCAGTTTTCCAATAGAAAAATATTGCACCCTGACTAGAGAAGTACATGGTAAGAATATTTAGGGATAAAATGGAGTTATACTCTAAACTCACTGATACATATTTAAAATTTATTACTAGTATAGACACAATAATTTTTATGTCATTTCATTTTCTATTTTTATGGTACTTTCTGGTAAGGCCAAAGGTCTAAGAAATTAGCTTGTTTTTGAAAGATCACCTGTAAAATGTAATTTTATTTAAAGAGGCAGCATGTTATATATCAAAGTACTAGAAAGGGACTCAATAAAATTTTGTTTCTAACGTGATTTTTCCAGTTCCTAGTTTTGTGACCTTGGATAAATCACTTTTTCATCTATAAAATAAAGAGAACAATATATGCCTCGGGAGCTCAAGCTCAACGTAATGTTTGCAGCAGTATTTTGAAAACGATACAGTATGAGTTCCTGAAGAGTGAGGACCCTGTTTGGCCCTGTTTTCTTCTTGAAATCCCAGGGCATGCTTCGTATAGAACAGGCGATCTGTAATTACTACTTGGATAAATCAATTGAATAAAATTACATGTTAGTGTTATGAGCATGTGCCTATTGATTTCTTGACAAAATAGAAATGGAAATCCTAAAACAATTTGGACATTCCTCAGACCTGGGGTAATAAATGAATTATTTAAAGTTCTCTTAATTATAACCATACATTATTCTGAGTAATATGTCATTTATATCCTCTGAGCTGTTTTTCACTGGAGAGCTAGAAAGGCAAATAACATTAACTTAGTGTCTCAACAATTTTATGGGCAAAATGAAGGTTCATCCAGACTGGGTCTGTTCCCTTTTGCTATTATTCTTGTGCACAAATTCTACCTTCACTTCATCTCTGTAAGGACTTCGGGTACTTCTGATTGCCATTCTTTCTGTTTAAAGACATTAACCTCCCTTTTTTACACAAATGCAAATCTTTCTTCACTTAAGCTGCTAGAGTTTGTCTTTGTGGTTTATGATTCTTAGATTCCCAATTTTGTGTTATGTAATTTCTTCTTAAGTACTGCTGTGTAGCTTTTCACAGAAATATAGTCTTTTTCCATACAAATTTGAGGTCCAAAGTTTCTCTTCTTATCGTTGGTTCTGCTGTCCTTGTTCTTCAGTCTTTGTCCTTAACACTTTAAATCTCACTTTTTGTCTTAAAATATAATTATACTTTTGTTTAAAAATACAATATAAATATATATATTTATAAATATATTATATATAATATTTATAAAATATAAAAATATTTTTATGTTAAAAATTAAAAATTTTTTAGCTTACAAAAGAAATATTTATAAAAACAAAAAGTAACCATTATCAAGTATAGTGCACAAAAATTAAATGTTGTCTACATTGCCATACCTTATTTATCTAGAATTCTGTCTAGTTTAGTATTTATAAATCTACCTCATTCTCTTTTTCACAGCTCTGTATTATTCCTTTGAATGGATATACCATAATTTATTTAAACATTTCCCCATCTATCAACATTTAGTTGGTTGTAGATTTTTACTACTGTAAGCAATGGTGAAGTGAATAGTTTTTGCTTTTATTTTTATTAAGTTTTAAGAGTTTTTCTGTAGGAAGGCTTCATAGAAGTTGGATTGCAGGGTTAGATGATATTTATTGTTTGTTTGTTTGTTTTAATGTGTGTCCTCTCTCTTTTCTTCAAGCCTTTTCCAAAAAAGGGTAATTTAAGCAAATGTATTGCTGTTGTTTTAAGTATAGATTAACTGTATAGATTAACTGGAAATAGTACTTAATTTCTTACCTGATATTTTGCCTTGTTTTTTTTACTTATGTTATTGTTTATTAGATGAACTGACTAAAGATTAGAAAAGGGAGTGTTTGATAATGGGTTTCATTCTGATTCTAGTACTCTAAACTGTATTATCTAATATATTTAGATAGATATGTTGATTTATAATTTAGTTGTATGATCAAATCAATTGAACTAAATGTAAACTATATCATTATATTGACTCCCCAGGGAACAATATACCAAAAATATTGCTGAACAGGAAAATCTTGGAAAGGTAAGAATATTTGTTTTTTAATGTGTGCATAATTCAGATTTACAGGATATGGTTACTTCATTGTCATTTTTTTTTAAGGTTTATAGGGGAAATTAGAGCTTTCTTACTCCCTTTCAAAAATGAAGACTCTTCCTTAGAAATTTATTTTTATAAAAGTGAAGACACATAGATTTGAGGGGAAAGGGGGAAATCTAGTTTTAAATAAAAAGTTCATGCATAACAAAATGCCACGTGTAATGAATGAACTACAAGTTTCACATTATTCCCAGGTATCTCTGTTTAGAAGATAAGTATAAACTTACTCATTTATTTTATTTAATAAACACAAAGCTCTTACTATGAGCCAGGGCCTGGTCTAAGTTCTTTACAAACATTGACTCAGTTAAAAATAATCAAAAAACTTTACTTAAGATATTCACTCCCTACCTGCCAGTCTTATATGAGGACTACTAAAAAATAGGAGTGTATGATTGAGCTTTGTTTTTCCAGTTCTCTGAGACACTCCTAGTGGAAGAGGTGGTAGGGGCCTTGACAATCAGGATGTAAATGACTAACTGATTTCTCTAATTGATTCTAATCTTTAATGATTTTAAGACCATGTTACATAGTGAATGCTAACCATGCTTCACTATACACCATTTTATCTGTTTCTTACTGAGTTTCACTACTGAAAATTGAAGTTTCCTCTTAGTTTTTGTAATAGGAGTGTCCAGTTTGTATTATCATTTGTTAGGAATTGTTAGCTGCAGTTTTTCTTTTAAAATACTGATTATATGTCAATGTCTCATTTCAGTGTTCAAATATTCTTGAGTCTGCAACCTGGAAATGATTTTATATACATATAGGCTTTTCTGTTCTGAAAGTACAAATTAACAATATGGCTTCGCTTCAGTCAATACATTGTACAGTTTAGCTATTGGATACTTTCATGTTCAAATGTATGTATTTGAATCAAGTTGTACACACATTTGTACAGTATTTTAACTAGAGATTTTGGGGGCTTTAGGATTTAGTATGATTGTCAATAATTGACTTTCATCCAGATATTTCTTAAGTGAAGTAATGTACTTTTTTCATATGAAAATATTCCTCCACTTCATTTGTTTAGTATCTGAATGGATGTTGTATATAGAGAAATATTTGCCAAACCTTGAATGCTTTCATAGACCCAAACTTAATGGCTAAATATGATTATTCTTTCCCCTCCCAGTGTAGTGTTTTATTATATTGCAAGATTTGAGGGGAAAGCAGTAGCAATGGTCTGACATCAAGCCTGTTTGAGCAAAATGAGCCGTTGATTAGCTCATGCCCTGATCGTCGGGCTGTTATCACTTAAGAAACAAAGCTTCTTGATCCTCTCACTCTTAGAATAGATCTAAATTTTCAAAGCAAACACAGAATACACCTAGGCTTTCAAACTGACAACAGCGTAAGTCTTCCAAACCAGCAGACTGGACATCCACAGACCTCCTCAAGCCAGCCTGAGTTTCTGAAATTAGACCAAGCTATAGTGCTACAATTCACACTATCATATACTAGACTTTGCCTTACCAAGTGCTGTGGAACATGATACTCAAAGTTGTAACTTTCCCCCTCCTGTACCACCTCCTCCTTTTAAGAACAATGAAATCTATGACAAGTATTTTTTGTGCATTGCAACTATGCATAAATCTGTAGTACATGACAGTAACATTAAAAATAAATTATAGAGTAAAGTCAGTTGTATTCATAAAGTTAAAGGTTTCAAACACATGTGATTATGAAGCAAATTAAATTTAATATTTCTGATACAGACAATGCCCACATCCTGTCTTTGGTTCTTTAAATAGCTTTTATAGGTTGTTAGGATTTTTGAAAAAGGAATTATTCCAATAATATAAGAAAAGTTACAGTTAAGTAGTACCTTAATCTTAGAATCATGTTCAATACTCTTAAAACTCTTGATCTGACTTACTACTTTTGTTTTAGTTTATGAGGATAAAAATATTTGTTGTAAGATACTTTATTTGTAACATAGACTTAAATAGATGTATTTGCATGCCAGGCATTGTGTCAAAAATTTGCTGTTTATATTTAAATTATATTTTCTTCATTCTGTTTTGTTTTGCTATCTGCTGTTAACTTTGCTTTTCTTAGCCATAGGTGGGAAGGGCAGTCTTTAATAAGCATTTTGAATCTGGCCTCAGTTTAGTTTAGCCTCTTATTTGGGCAAGTACCGACCACCAGCCTTCTCACTTGTGTCCTTAGTTCAACTGTTAGATCAACCCTGCATACTAAAAGAGGAAAAGATGGGGATGTTCCCGTGTAATCTGTTTGTGTCTTTGCTTGTTTTTCTGCCCTTCTTGGTGATTTCTCACACTCTGTGTCAGTGAGTGTATTTCTGTTACTCTGTGCTTCCTTATGTGTGTCCTGTCATCTCTGTTTTTCTCTTCTTTCCTTCCTTCTTTGCTTTCCTCTCATTGTCTCTCTGATTTTGTGCGATCTTTTCTTTGTCACTCTTCCTTGATTTGCCATAATACAGAGCCAAAGAACAGTTCACAGTTTACTGAAAAATGTTCCCATTCCTGTTTATAATTTTAGTCAGTAAGTAGAACAGTATTGGAAGGTGGAACTATATTTATAGGCTATTAGTAACAAAAATAATTCTGATAAGGACCTGAGCCTTTTTAAAATATCACTGGACCTTCTCCTTGAAGAATATTTGCATACAATTTGATTTATTTGGGCATAGAACATACCCTTAGAGTATATTGATTCAGGAAAGAATGTAATATTTAATAATAATAACATATATAACACATGATAGTTTGTAATTATTTCTATATCTATTATCATGTGAAAAAAATAGTATTATAAAGCAGATACTTTTATAATTACTCCTATTATTAACCTTAATTGACAATTGAAAAAACTACAGTCCAGAGAAATTGTCTTCCTTATGGCTAGTGACAATGCCAGGGTTGGGACTCAAGTCTTCTGACTTCCAAAATATGCATTTTTTTATATACCATGATACTGCTCCACTTTCCTGATTTCCTTTATTTCCCCCTTCTTTTCTATTTTTCTGTCCTTTTTAGCTTCAGGTTGTCTTAGATCTATCATAAATTTAATTAACTTTTATCATCTTAGCTTTCATATATCATCTGGTTTAGCTATTACTTATCAGATGTACAAAGCATACCATATTCTTCTGATTAGAGCAGTAGAAGTAAATCCCTATATGATATTTAATTATTCTTTTTTTTTTTATGCTAGAAACTTCGGGAAAAACAAAAAGCTGTACGAGAAAGTCATGGTCCAAATATGAAACAAGCAAAAATGTGGCATGATTTTGAACAATTGATGGAATGTAAGAAACAGTGCTTTCTGAAACAACAAAGCCAAACTTCCATTGGTCAGGTAATTCAGGAGGGAGGAGAGGACCGGCTGATACTCTGAGTTCATGTGTGATTGTCTGGGGCTTTAGTTGATGTGGCTAGCTATAAGCAAAATCCCATGGTGTGTTTCTTTTTTTTTTTTAAGTGATTTGTTGAACATTTTGCTTTCAGATTAGCCATTCCCTATTAAGTTTTCATGGAAAATAATGCTAAGGTAGATTTAGGTTTTAAAAGTGTCTAATATGAAAAAGAGGCTTTTATTATTTCACTTAGTTTATACATCAGTGGTGTCTTCTGTTTTACAAGACAAGAGACTGAGTTTACTGTCTTTAAATGTAAACACATGTCCATTAAGAAACATGTAAGTTTTTGTTTGGACATAATAACCCAGTGGCTTATTGTTTTTCTTAATCTTTTTTTAACTTCAGAGAAATCTTTTAGGAACTAATATCTCTTGTTTTGAAGATACATTTATCTGAAGTTCAGCAATTCCTACAGTTTCACTTCAGTTTCTTTTTCTTCTGTACAACTCAAGAACATTTAATATTTTGAATGGCATATTTGTTCTATTTGTATTGTTTAAAGGCAAATAAAACTTGGTGCACATATCATGGCTATTTAAAATTTATGTAGTGTAAATTTTAAATCTTTTTTAAGTATGTATTCATCTATAATACTGTACTAAATTTAAGATTATTGCTTATTTTCACTAAAAATCTAACACAGTAGGTTCTGGGCATTATTATTTTAAATATCAGAAACTGTCAAAGTGCCTCCAAATCTCTGCTTCATCTGGACAAGGTATCTGAAGATGTCTTTAATTTTTCCTTAAAGATACTAAATTCATATGCCACCCTTTACTTCATTTCAGTTTCAATATACTTTTCAAATTTTCTTTATTTTAGATTTGAAAACTCAGATTTCAAATGGTTAGCATGTCCTTCTTGGGTTCTTTCTTCTTAGCTTTCCTATAGAAAACAAAGCAAAAACATTTTGATGAAAAAAATTGTTTCCACCCTTGCAAAATATACGAACTTGATTAATGGCCTTGGGTGTCTGTTCCCAAATGTGTCCTACCCTTTTTTTGTCTTTCTTGATAATTAGAGAATCTCATTAGCATGGAAATTACTTGCATTTCTAGAAGCTATCACCAGAATAGATCCATCCGAGTATGGAAGAACTTACCAGGAAAGTATAGAAAGAAACTTCTTTTAACATATTGTAAGAAAAAAAAAGAAAAAAGAAAAAAAATAGAGAAGTATTTCAGCGTTATTAAGTGGTTTGGATCTGGTCTTCAGCTTACTTTAGCTACTTTTTTGGACAAATATCAGTTATCAGAATTCTCACTTGGCCCTTAGATCAACTCTTGGATCAACCATGTACTAAAAGAGTGAAGACCGTGTTCAGTCTGTGGAAACAAACCCTTACTAATTCAATAATCAGGTTTTGAACATTGTATTTGTTCAGAGTTGGCTACTGGCTTGTTATTTTTAAGCCAGTAGTAAGTGATGTTCCTTTTAGAGTATGAATTCCTTTGCAAATATTTGAAAAAGACTAGATGCCCTTCCCAGAAACAGCATTTTATTCCCCAAAGGAATGTCAATTTGTAAGATTATTAAGCCTAGTGACTAGTTTTTTTCAGTCTTTGCTGTCTTTGGTCCTCTTAATTTTTAAAATTGTGAGCAAGAGATGTGTCAGGGAATGCTTATAATTCTGCTTTGATTATTGCTTGCTTTCATTCCACACAGAAAGAGTATGTGGATTAAACACTAAGGCAGCTCCAAAATTATTTTATTAACTGAAGCAGAACATCATTACTACTTCAAGAAAAGCAAATTGAAAAATAGGCCTAAAAGTGCAAAGCTATTTATAGTTTTTATGTAACATTGGACATTTAGTGACATAGCTTAATGGGTTTTGTACAGTGACTTTCCACTCATTTTATGATTTGATTGGAACAGTAAAAAGCTTTGACTAACTCTGACAGTTTTTGACAGCTGGCACAGAAGAAGAGCTTATTACGTTTTTCCTTCAGGATTGATACTCCAGCTGGCTAATTGATGAAAATGCCTAATCATTTTGGAAAATAATCTTGTCTCCCACATGATGACCCAAATAAAGGAAAAAAATGTAGCCTGTGAAATCTGCTCCTATGTTCACAGATTTTCTCCTCCTAGGACCCAGTATTGCCAGCTGTTGCATGGGACTGACCATTTAAGCCATAAATTTCAAAAAACCACTGCCTATCTTGTTTCCTGTATTAGTTAAGGAAATAATCCAACTTTAAAGGTTGTCCTTTAAGAATTTCATAATATAAAATTTTATAGAATTTTATAATATAAATATCTTTTCTGTTATAAATCTGTTAATAACTGAATCTAAGGTCGTATGTTTTCCAGGTCTAGAAAGTGTTAGCAGAATTAGAGCATTGTTCAGAGGCATATGGAAATTAAACCAAATCTCAGGGAACTGTAGAATATTTAACTTTCTTCTTTAGATTAATATTTTATATCATATTGCTTTAATGCAGTGGACAGTAGCAATAAAAGAAACCATTTCGTTAAACTATCAAGTAATTAGTTTATATAACATATATAATTTGGGGGAAAAATTTTAAGCTCTGTGAATTTTCCAAGTGTATTTCTTAAATTTTTAGGCTAAACATGATACAGAGCACTTTTTTGGTAATTTGAGTAAGAGACTGAATATGTTCCTTAAAATAAAAATACATGAATTTGCAGAATTCTTCTGCAAATTGAAAATATATGTACAAATGGGTGAATTGCCAAAGCTGCCTTTACAAAAGCAGCAATCAAATTTGTATTGAAAAAATGACTTCGTAGGGATATGTGTGTCTTATAGAAACCTCCTCGTCTTACACAGGCTTTCACCCAATATTAGTGACTAATGAGTGTGAATCTAAGACTTGTTTCTGCAAAAGGTTCTAGGCGCTTACATCATTCCTCTTGCTTGGCACCAAGGAGTGTTTAGCCTTAGGGAGTGGGCAACTTAGCACTCTGATGATTAACTTTCATTAAACTTGGTTATTTTAATAACTTCTCCATTGTTGTAGTAAAGGTGAGATCTAGATTATGTATACAATGAATCCTTCTTTTTTAAACAATCCATGGCAGCCAGGAGAGAAAGTTGCACTTTTATTAAATATGTGATTGCTTCCCTACTCAGAAGAACTGCTGGCCTGAGCTCCTCCTCCCTTTCCTTTTAATGAGAGCAGTTTAATTAGAGCTGTTTGATGTGTGGCAGCCAGGCACGAGGTGAATGTTTTGTCTGGGGAAGATAGAGAGGGATCGTTTAAAGTTATGCATCTATTTTCAATCTTTGACCTTTCTGTCTTAAGACAGTCTTAAAAAGAAAATATTGTCTGTAACTGGCATTTAGTTTCATCCAATCCTTGCAAAAGAAATAAAAAACTAAAAAACTGAATCCAAACATTTTTTTTAAAGACTTGGACAAACGTGCTTTCTGCTCACATGCTCCCTCTTTTGGCAAACTGTAAGTATTGCCTCAGCAAAAGGCGGTAATTTCACCATTTCCTCTCTAGAATTGCTGAGAGACTTGAGTCACCAAACGTGGTTCACTGCTGTGGAAATGCATTGTTCAGAACACAGAAGGAAATTTAAGATTTCTGCTTTTCGGTGACAGTATTTGTTTCCGCCTCAGTTCAGAGTGTGAACTGCACGTTCCCGGCAAGACTGCCGCTTAACACTGCATGTGAGAACCTGGTGAATAGGCAGAGAATTTTGGAACTTGAAAGGAACCTCAGCATGATTCATATGGTCATTCATTAGGTTGGGACCTTTGAGGGATCTCTTTCAGCCTCTCTCAGTGCAGAAATCAGGACAGCAGGGACATGTCTGGCAAATGGCTTTCCAGCCTCGGTAGAGTAACCGCAATGCAGTTCACTCCTCACGAGGGAGCCGGTCCTATTGTTAAGGAGCAAAGACTGATTGGTTTATTGGTTCTAGAAGCAAAGCCAACTTACAGAGGAAGGGAAATTTCTTTAAACAGCAGTTCGGCAAAGCAAGATTTAACAAATTTTGCTCCCTGAAAAAAATTTTACTTCAGGGGAGTAATATTATTATGGTTATTATAATACTCAGAATCGTGAGAATGATGAAAATAATAATGATGCTAGCAGCTACTCCATTAGTAAGCACTAATTACGTACCAGACACTGTCCTAAGTGCTTTATGTGTATGAACCAGTGTAACTCAAAAATAACCCTATGAGATGGATACCATTATCCTCACCTTATAAATGAAGAAACTGAGGCACAGAAAGGCTTTTACAGTATTACACAGATAATAACTGTGGCAGGTGGAGCCAGGGCCCAAGACCTGTGCTCTTAACTACTGTGGTGTCCTGCAGTGTGACCCATGGTTGTATCTATCCATAAAGGTTGCTGTCCATTTATGAACTGCAATATATGTGAAATTATTTTTTTTGCTTTTATAATGCATTTTCAATAATATATTTCCTTAACTGTAGCTGAAAAACAAATGTCACTAATTTACTAAATGATTAAAAATAAACTACTGAGACTTACCTGGTGGTCCAGTGGTTAAGAATCCACCTTCCAATGCAGGGGACATGGGTTCTATCCCTGCTCCAGGAAAATCCCACATGCCTTGTGGCAGCTAAGCCCATGCACCACAACTATGGCAGCCAAATCGCAACTACTGAGCCTGTGCACAGCAGCAAAGACTCAGCACAGCCAAAAATCAATAAAATAAATCAATAAATAGTTTAAAGTAAGTAAATTCTACCAACCAGATGAGGGAATTATAGTAAAAATGACTGTCGAGTAAATGCATAAAAGAAGTAATAGTTTTAGGTAAAGAGAGAGTAGAAACTTCATAGGTTATAACTTAAAACTTTCTCTGTGAAGAGTTTCAGTGTGGGATGATGAAAAAGTTCTGGAGGTAGATGGTGGTGAAAAAGAAAAAAAAAAACCTTTCTCTGTGAAAGTCTTAAACTCGTATATGTCTCCTGTTGCTGGACATTTAGATCAATTCCAGTTTTTTACTTTATAAACAATGCTACCATCAAACTTAAAGATTGAAATAAGGTAAAATAGTAAGCAAAACCACAAAATTTAATTTAGTCAAATCCAGAATCCATTGAATAGTTTCATGGACTTTTCTCGCCTTCATCTATGAAAATGCCAAGGCTAAACCAAAGATATTAACAAGATATTACTTGATTAACTGGAGGATAAAATTGTAAGTTCATTCATTTATTTATATGTATTTAATGAGTATCTTCTGCGTGCTTGACACTGTGCTACATGCTAAAGTAGAAAATGAACATGACCTGGTTTTTTCTCTCAAAGAGCACACAGTCTAGAAGATTCTAATATTAAGCAGCAAAGAGAAAAGTTTTTTTATGTATAAAACAAGGAACTCAGAGGAAGAAGCAGTTAATTTTGACATGGGGGACTGAAGAAAGATTAATGGAAGAGGTGGGACTTGAGCTGGATTTATAAGAATGAATTAAGGGTTTGATTGTATAAGACAAGTAGAAGACATAAAGGCATTTAAGTACATGACATGTTCAGGAAATGACAAGTGTAGAATGGCTCAGTAAGTTACCTAGTTGTGTGAGGCCAGAGTAAGGAGTTCCTAATATGGCCTAAGCTCGTGTGCTCTGTAATTTGACATGCTGGGCACTCAGCTGGACTCCATGAAAAGGTAGAGTAAAAGGATAAGACATGGCCCCTGTCATTAACCAGACTAACAATACAATACAGCAAATATATTGAATCCTAAAACCTAGTGCTAAATTTTGTGTGCTGCCAAAGTTCAGTCAGAATGGACTAGGGAAGACTGAAAGGCCAAAGGAGAGTCCAGGGGGTTTCATCAAAGAAGAGGAATGATCTGGGCCTGGAAAGATGAGTAAGATTTGGATAGGAACCAGCAATTGGAGCAAGTTACAGCACTGGATTATCAAACAGATATACCCCAATATTTGATATTTCAGAAATCAAAGAAGTTTTCATTAGAGAAATCAAAACTCAGACTTCCTTACACTCTCTTTAGAGTTAGGGTCTCTAAAAGTTTCAGTTTAGCTTTTTGGAATGCCATCAAAAGAGTTACTAGTCCAATAGGAATTCAGAGGGGAAAAAAACACTGTGGGCTGGAGCAATCTGGGCAGACTGGAGAAAGAGATGGTACAAGTTTAAAACCACTCTGGAAGCATGGGTAGAATTTGGCTTAGGGAGGGAACAAGAGCTTCACAGGGATGAGGAAGCCCCAAGAAAGGAATGCCCTGAGGTAGGAGCGAGGCAAGGCTGCAGAGAGTAAGAGAGTTAAAGCTGGAAAAGGAGTTGGAAACCAAATCCATGAGGTTTTTTGAGTTGGTGCAGTTGCTGGAGCTGTTCTTAATATCCTAATTCCTTTTGGACCCTCTATGAAATGAGAGATTCACTGCATTGTAGGGAATCACAGATTATCATCTCCACAAGAGACTGCTATCATGGACTAAGTTTGATTTGTTTTTTATGACAAAAGAGAGCAGTATAGGCAGTAAGTCAGTTGTTTGTTTCATCGTCTTTGCAGGAATATTTTTTTACACTAACTCAGAGATTCAACATTTCATTCTTTGATTCAGTTTACAACTCTTTGTCATCTCATTTGTACAATCACTTTTTTTGTTTCATGTCACATTTTCAGATATGTGGGAAAGATTTGCTAATTTGAAGGAATTTAGATGAGAAACAATATTTTAAAATTACATTTTTGTTGGGAGACATTTTTATAAGTTTATTTGATTTCCTATGTATCCAGAAATATGAGGAAAAAAATTCAAAGCTGGTGTTTAACAGTCCTTGATTGCTTTTTCTTGAGAGTAAGAAAAAGAACTCTTTTACGTTGTAATAGTTGCCAAGTAGCCAAGGAGAGCCTCGGCCCTTGAAAAGACCCACTTGCTAGTGACTTGGCAGTGTCAAACAAATGTTCAACTTTTATTCTGACACTTCTTGAAGAATTTGATTGAAACTATATATGTCCAGATAACACTCAGCAAAGTGCCCTTCTTGCATTTGTTTCAAGATATATTTGGAAACAAGAGAGATGACCTTGGACTCAGCTGCTTTTCCAATTTAGGACTTCTCT